GTACTGGGGATGGAACCCACGTTGACTGCATGCAAGGCAAGTGCCCTGCTGCCATACTATCTCTACATATACCAGTTGGTTATCCAATGTGAAGTTTCAGAAAGGAAAGTAAGAAAATTTTAAAATAATCTTTTTCTTGGGGATGCTCCCAAGAGGTGCTCAGGAGTTCTGGGGTCCCACCAGAAATTCTTTTGTTTTCCTTTTTTGGGTCACACCGGCAATGCACAGGGGTTACTCCTGGCTCATGCACTCAGGAATTACTCCTGGCGGTGCTCGGGGGACCCTATGGGATGCTGGGAATCAAACCCAGGTCAGCCGTGTGCAAGGCAAACGCCCTACCCGCTGTGCTATCACTCCAGCCCCCTGCCAGCAATTCTTGACCAAGCAGGCTAGTGATTAAGTGCAAGGTCCTAAGAATGGGTATTAAGGTGGTGCTGAGGGTCACCAGAGTCCAGAGAGGCAGGCACCAAACCTAATGCAGTGCATACTAGGCCTGGCTTTGACCACCATAGCTTCCTGTCCCTAAATAAACACACTTCCACCAGACTGCCAAGGGATGGATCATATTGCCAGGGGCATCTGAATGAGGCAGGTGAGGACTTGAGACGTGCCTCCACCAGCTCATTAGGGAAGGTCCCTAGGACCAGACATTTATGTTTTTTAAGCCACAAAAGTATAAATAGAGCCGCCTGCTTCCATGCCATGCCACTGGGCTTTGTGCTGAGTAAGTGGTGTTGCCTGCAGGGTGGGCTCACTTGGGTGTGGAGAGTCCACGATTCATGTCGGCTGTAACTGTTGTTATCTTCTGAAACTGGCCATGCCTGAGCGCTCTGGGGAAGCTTCTGGTAGAAGAGATAAAGGTGAGGTTGGTGGCCATCAGGAGTCCCACTAGGACCAAGCGCTTGGCACACGACCTGCAGAGGATGCCCCCACACTTGGGAGGTTCTGAAGAGGAGAGGGAGGAGGAGCGAGAACTCTCCCTGGCGAGCATGCTGGGAACGGAAGCAATTTATTCTCTTCTTTTACAACCACCAAAATATAGAATGCTCCTGTGGTAAGAACTCTTGCAAGGTGCTCCAGTTTCTTCTCCTTTGAGTGGGGCAATGGGCAAGTTGGATCGCCTTGACAGTTAAACTGTGGGCCACTCTTCAATGTCTCTATGGCCATTGGCGTCCTCCCTCTGGACTCCATGAAAAAAGAATTCTTTTAGGATGAAACGCAGCTCTTCCCTCCTGTTACCTGTGTGTGTGTGTGTGTGTGTGTGTGTGTGTGTGTGTGTGTGTGTTTGGATAGTATTTTGCAGTGCTCTGGGGACTATTCTCAACTTGTTGCTCCAGAGTTGCTGTCGGTGGTGCTCAGGAGACCACATGTGGTGCTGGGGATTGAACCCAGGTCTTCTGCATACAAAGCATGTGTTCTGGCTTACTGAGCCCTATTCCCGACTATATATCATGATCATCCTGTTGTTCATTGATTGTCTCGAGCAGGCACCAGTAACGTCTCCTTCTTCCTAGCCCTGAGATTTTAAAAGAACCATTTCAATGCTCTTTCAGGATTAGGATAATGAGACCCATCATTGTTACTGGTATTTGGCATACTGAGTGCGACACGGGAAGTTTGCCGGTCTCTGCCGTGCGGGCAGGATACTTTTGGTAGCCTGCCAGGTTCTCCAAAGGAAAAATAAGATAATAAGATGTTGCGCGGCCGCAAATGCGGCCGCTTGCTTCAGGGAGCTGGGTTTTATAGTCTCTGCGTCTTGGCCATTGATGGGACCAACTTGGCGCTGGCGGCAGCTGGTGGGTGTGATGCCTACCTACTGGAAGATGGGGGATCTGGGTGGAGAAGGCCCAGTCCCAATCCGAGTAGGTTTGGAGACCTCAGCCCCGGGACCCGCATGCCTGGGTTCCTCTGCCACACTTGGGTGGTGCTCAGGGGTCACTATTCCTGCCCAAGGGATCGTATGTGGTGCCAGTGTTTTACCTCGGCTCGGCTGCATGCAAGATAAGAACACTGACTGCTGTACTCTCTCTCCAGTGCCCCCATTTTCATTGAAGAATGAGCAGGAATACCTTTCAATAAGGAATTTTAGTTTGCAAATCAATGAAAAAAAAAAGGGGGGGAGGGCAACTTTAGAACAGACCGCAAGAGGGCACTATTATCACTAGCCATAAAAAGGTTTTACCTTGGAAACCGGAAGTGAAGATGGTCCTTGTTACCTGTGTGGGGCTTCCCTGTCCTTCGTAGCCCCAAATCTTGAATATATCAAAGTTTCTCTACTTTGCAAGAAGCCAATACATAATGTTTTTTTTTTAATAATTTTTGTTTTGTATGCGGCTTTGGGGTAACAGCCAGAGGTGCTCAAGGGACACCGCGATTGCACCTGTTTCTTACCTTTTCTGTCCAGTTTTCTTTTGGAAAAGGGGGTAAAAAAAGTCTCTAGGAAACTTACCAGGGCTATTTGGATGACTCTGGATAGAAAAACATGAACAATTTGATTTGCTTCATTTATTTGATTTGCTTCATTTTCTCTCAAAAGTGTAACTTCCTTTTTTGGGGGGGGGGTCACACCCGGCGATGCTCAGGGGTTACTCCTGGCTCATGCACTCAGGAATTACTCCTGGCAGTGCTCGGGGACCATATGGGATGCTGGGAATCAAACCCGGGTTGACCATGTTGGCTGCTTGCAAGGCAAACGCCCTACCCGCTGTGCTATCGCTCCAGCCCCAGAAGTGTAACTTTCACTTACATTATGTGTGTGCATTTTTTTCTGACTTCATAGCATTCTTGGAAGGGCAAGTTATTTCAAAGGAGGCCACTGAGAATTTGTTGGTAGAAAACCGCAGGTTTTCTCACCTTTAATAGCTGTGTTACCCTGACTTTCTAGGGCTCAAACTACAAACACTTTGCAGGACCAGTGTTTTATGTCCTGGACTATTGTGTGTACGGCCTCATTTCCACCACAAAGAAACTTTGCTAAGTGTCCTCACATCCCTTTCACAGATGAAAAACAGCTTTGCCTAAACTCATCAGCCAGATATAAGGAAATGGACTCGTCTCTGCTCCTATTTTTATGCCTGAAGTGAGTTACGTGTTGTCCCTCCAACCCTGATCTTGATCATTCTTCCTAGGGATTCAGAACACAGTAATTTGGATTGAAATGCCACCAAGATTGAAAACACAGGTATTCAAATGGAATGACATGTCATTTAACACACCTTATCACAGCATGTGGCATAGAGTTAGGTTTTGCTCAGAAGGGTTTCTAATCTTCATTTCTTTATCTTTTTCCTGCTTAAAGCATCACATGAATGTGTAAAATGCACTCATCTGCAGTAAATACCTTTGTGGTTTACACTTGCTCACATCCACAAATCACCAGATACAGATGAAAACCACGACTAACACTCTAGAAGTTTCTCATATCTTCACAACCGGCAGCTGTCTACAGCCTCTGAAAGGGACTTCAGACTCTTAAATTCATCTTTTCTTGCAATTATTTTGCTTTTTTAGGGGGAGGGGTTACACCCAGCAATGCTCAGGGGTTACTCCTGGCTCTGCACTCAGGAATTACTCCTGGTGGTGCTCAGGGGACCCTATGGGGTGCTGGGAATCGAACCTGGGTCGGCCGCATGCAAGGCGAAATGCCCTCCCCGCTGTGCTATTGCTCCAGCCCCTCTTCTTGCATTACTAAGTGGAACCGCACAGTTTCCACAGTAGTGGGCTCCTTTATTCCATGGGTCATGGCTGGACCTAACCTTCTTCCCAGTCTCCCCTTGCTCTCTTCAATCTTGTGGACTCAGATTTGTAATGTCTCACTTCACATTATTCGGCGTGAGAACAACTCGAATGATCATGCAGACTTTGGTTTCCACTGGCTAAAAAAAAAAAAAAAATAGAGTATAGGGGCCAGAATGATAGTATAGTGGGTAGGGGGCTTGCCTTGCATGCAGTTGATGTAGGTTCAATCCCGAGCTCTCCACCTGGTCCCCTGAAACCCACCTGGAGTAAGTGATCCCAGGGTGCAGAGCCAGGCGTGAGCCCTAACACTGCTGGGTGTGGTCAAAACTGCCCCCACAGTCCTCGAAAAAAAATCAAAGAAAGAAAAAAAAAATGGGAGCACAGTCCTGAGACTCCTACCCAGCCTCATCAGACCCCCGCCTCATCTGCCCCTTTCTAAATTTTTCTTGGCAATTAGCCGAGATAAGTACCAGGAGGTTTACTCCATGGCTTGGAGGCCAGACGCACATGCTAGGGGCAAAGGCAGCTCAGATAGAGAAGGGAGCACCAAGTAAAGGGTGTTGGGAGGATCCTCCCAGGATAGGAAATGTGTGATGAGAGTAGACTATAAGCCAAACATGCTTGCCACTCAAGGCCTCTTTTGCAAACCACAGAACCCAAAAGGAGAGAGAGAACAAAAGGGAATGCCCTGCCACTGAGTCAGGGCGGGACAGGGGGAATGGGGGGTGGGACGGATACTGGGATCAGTGATGGGCGCTGGTGGAGGGATGGGTACTTGATCATTGTATAACTGAAACCCAAGCACAAAAATTTGTAAGTCTGTAACTGTACCTCACGGTGATTCACTAATTAAAAAAAAAAATACCTTGGCAAGTACTTTTCCCGTTGATATGGAAGTTAATATTTACTTCAAAGAATAGTCGAGGTGGGACAGAGGTTGTGGCACTCAGCCACTTACTCACCTTCAGGAGAAGGGACGAACTGACCCTGCCTGGACCCAGCTGCACGTTGCCCCCTCACCGACTATTCTGGAAGCCCTTCCGCAGCATGGCCGCGTGGGCCAGGACACACTTCCCGGGCCACTCCCCACCCCGCAGCCCTGCTGCCTGACGCATACCCTCATCATTTACCTTGGCTGTGTTCGGGCGCCCCCTTGCCCTGCAAAGAGCCCAGTTAAGAAAGCCCTTTCGCAGAGTATCTGGACTCATCATATGAGCAAACCCCGCCATCCTCCATTCAAGTTTCAGAGCTCACACATGCAAGAGTTTTCAGAATGCTAATTTCATATTTATTTCCTCATAACCTTTAACCACCCGATTTACACAAGCAAACTGCAAATGGAAAACAGGCGTTCCTTTTAATCCTTTGAAATGCGTGTGTGTGACAGAGCCCTACGTGTTTATGCAGGAACAAGCTGGCGCAGCTTTTGTCCAACATGAAATTAGCATTACAATTTAAATATCCATACCTGCAAAGGTTTGTTTAATCTAATATACATAGTTATTGAAGACTTTTAGCTGGGGGGGTGGGTTAAATGTCAACAAAAAGCTAACAATTATGTAAAATTATTTACAATTTAACATTCAGGATCCTGATTCACAAAGCTTAGTGCATTTATCATGATTTAATTACGCATTTTATTATTTATGAGTTTCAGAGAGAGGGGGAGCAGCTGTAGAATTCTTTCTCAGGTAAAAATCTAAAGTGAGTGGCTTTTAGAAGACGGCCAATGTGCTTAATGGAAACTGAAAAAAAAATGAACAAAACTCTTCAGCAACTGCATGTGATTTGAAAATTTCAGTATGCAGTAGAATCAGAATAAACAGGTGGAATCAAAAGAACGAAGAGCCATTTCTATCAATACTCTTGGCGTGGACATGAAGAAAAAGATTCTTCCTCTTGTGCCCTTAAAAAAAAAAAAGTCACCGCCAATCATCACTGCGAGTGAAGCCAGGGTGAGAGCCTCTCCTTTTCTACAGAGCCGTCTTGAAATGTCTGAATCAGCAAATCCAAACCAGGAAAGCAACCAGTTCAGCAGGTCTTCCTTATTTCGTGGTGAGAGCCCCAGCTGACCCCGAGTGACCCAGTGGCGTCAACGATTCTGATTACAGAAGAAGAACGTGGTAAGATGACCCAGGAAGCACTTCAGTGGATTCAGTGGGAGATGTCGCGTCTTCAACAAAGGAGAGGACTCAAAGAAAAGTCACGAGACAAAACTTTCCGAATTTCAGTGAATCAGGTCCTAGACGAAAAGTCTCTTCGAGAAAATGTACAGTAAACATTTCAAACTCCGGAATGCAGGTGCAGTACAAGTACTGGTACACGACATTTACAAAATTGCTCAGGCGGCAGCTGCCCCAGAGTTGGGAACTGGAAAATGTACAAGCCGGTTCGCAATGACTTTTAGATACAGTGTTATTAAAATACCTTGTTAATCATAAAAATACTTTCCTATGTACATGTACAGTGTATAAACGCTAAATTCGCCTATGAAAGGAAGCCTGGGAGTCCATGCCTGGCCCGCTGACCTGGGAGACAGTGCTGTTTGGTCTTCACACCGTGTACACGGGCTGAGTTAAGTCCTGCAGAGCGGCACTGCACTCCTCGACATCCACGCACTGTTCCTCCCGCAGGGCATTTAGTTGGAAGAGTCGGTTTTACTTCCGCTGTACTTCGCTTTCCGAAATGCTGGTCCGAGCAACTCTGGGCATTCACATAATTCGTTGGCGATCTGATTGCACTTCAAAAGAAGGCTATAGTTCATTTCGTCCGTTATTACACTGTCTTGCTTGTAGCTGGGATGGCTGGCAATGAACTCCCTCATCCACCTGGCAACTGTCATCAGTTCTCCTGGAGAAAAGAATTTTATAGCAATGGAAGTTTAACAAAAAAAAAAAAATAAAGAGAGAAAGCTGACAATAGCGGCCAACTTAAAACACGATCTTGAAGAAAAGTCAGGAAGACCTTCTGGCGTAACGCATGGCAGTGCATGGTTTTGGAACAAGACGTTATCTAGGAATTTCGCTCCATGGCTTAGAGGCCAGCCACATGTGCTAGGGGAAAAGGGAGCTCAGATAGAGAAGGGAGCACCAAATAAAGGGTGTTGGGAGGATCCTCCCAGGATGGGAGAAGCATGCTGAAAGTAGACTATAGAGTTGACATGATTGCTACTCAATGTTTCTCTTGCAGACCACAGCACCCAAAAGGAGAGAGAGAGAACACAGGGGAATGCCCTGCCACAGAGGCAGGCTGGGATGGGGGGAATGGGGGGGCGGGAGGGATACTGGGACCCGTGATGGTGGAGAATGGGCACTGGTGGAGGGATGGGTGTTTGATCATTGTATAACTGAAACCCAAGCACAAAAATTTGTAAGTCTACAACTGTACCTCGTGGTGTCTAATAAAAATTAAAAACTTTAAAAAAAAAAAAGAAATAAAGACCTTTATAAAGTAAAAAAAAAAAAAAAAGAATGGCTGGAGCGATAGGACAGCGGTAGGGCGTTTGCCTTGCACGCAGCCTACACGGCCGACCCGAGTTCGATTCCTCCGCCCCTCTCGGAGAGCCCAGCAAGCTACCGAGTGTATCTCGCCCGCACGGCAGAGCCTGGCAAGCTCCCCGTGACGTATTCGATGTGCCAAACACAGTAACAACAAGTCTCCAATGGAGACATTACTGGGCCCGCTCGAGCAAATCGATGATCTGAGGAATTCTAAGTTGCAGGCAGGCTAACCAGAGCAAAAAAATGGCACCTCGCACATGCCACACACACACACACACACACACACACACACACACACACTGTCGAGGCCAGCTCCTGAGGAAAGGGAACCAGCCTGTCACTGCAGTGCTTGGCCCTTCCTCTGGCCAGAGACCGGCTCAAAGGATGGCGAGATTCTGAGTGTCGAACGGGTGGAGAGAAGTCGAGCAGCTGCCCCTTACGACTCCAGGGAAGTTTACTGGAGGCTTGCGGGAAACACAGACTCCAGTAGGAAACGCCACTGCAACTGCTGTTCTTAGTCACAGCTTGAAGCCCCCTTGTGCCAAGCGCCCGGAAGGTCTCACTGAGGGGAGCCCCTCGCAGCTACTAAAGGGCCTCCTTGGGGTGCCTGGACTGGAAACAAGACGGAAGAACCACACATCCTTGCTGTGCTGCTGCGTCTATGAAGTTACACAGCAACAGAAAGAGCCCAGGAGCGCGTCCACACACACCACCGAACATAAAACACAAACGCAATCCAGATACTGTCTCTTGGACTCCATTATCTCAGATCTCATCGACTTAAGGGGGGCGAGGGAAGCCGGTAAGATAACCGCAAGGGACTGAGCACGCATATTGTGGGCCCTCGGTGCCAGGTAGTCTGGCCCCAAAGCTGGCTCTCTCTCTCTATTGTCCTCCCGTTGATCATCGATTTGCTCGAGCGGGCCCAGTAACGTCTCCATTGGAGACTTTGTTGTTACTGTGTCTGGCACATCGAATACGTCACGAGGAGCTTGCCAGGCTCTCCGAGAGGGGCAGAGGAATCGAAACCGGCTCGGCCAGGCTGGCTGCGTGCAAGGCAAACGCCCTACCGCTGTGCTATCGCTCCAGCCCCCCCAAAGCTGGGGAAAAAAAAAAAAAGGTGCACCTAACCCAAAACGTCAAACTGCGAGAAAGCACGGACTAGAAAGAAGTCGCACTCGAAACGGAGACGGAATTTCTGAGATTTGGGACGAGAAAAGCGAAGGGATGCCGTACCGGATGCTCTCTTCTTAATTAACTTTAGGTAGTTGAGAATACTACATCTGGTGTCCACGTCCACTTCCATGTTCTCCAGGTAAGAGTTGAGAATCGGGATGAGCCCGGGAAACACGCCTTCCTGCGGGAGCAGGGCACCCCGTCAGAGACCGGCCCGTCCCCGTTCCGGGGGGAGCGGCTGCCGGGAACCCCCGCCCTACCTTCCCGTTGATGATGGTGTCTATGCTCATGAGGGTGTACTCCTCCACGGCCTGCTCGGTGCTGTTCTGGCCCTTGCCACGGCCGTCCACCACGGCGTTGCCACCTACCGGGTCCAAGGGGAGAGAGGCACGTCAGGGGTCTGGGTGGGCCTGCGGGGGACCCCACCAGCCAAGAGCGCATCAGACCTTTGCAAATATCCTTCCGGAAATAGAACATGCCCTGCAGGACGGCATCCCGTTTCTGGGCTACTTTCATGTTTTCATCGACCTGGGGGACAGAAAGAAATGCTGAATGAGGACACCCCTGACCAAACACACGTTGCGTGATGTCCTTGGGCGTCTTCAGTCAGGACCACGCCCTTGAGGACTGATTCTCTCCACGCTCTCTGGCCGGAAGAACAGGTCTTTGAGGCGGGATCCACTCCCCCTCGCTGGGGCATGGACTTGGAATAACAGAGGGGGGTGTGGTAGGGGGCCCTAAAAGTAGCTCTCCATCAAGAAGTCAAACAGAGGGGCTGGAGGAAAGGACAGGGGTTGGCCCTGACTGGACTCTGGCCTCACCTGGCCCCTGAGCACTGCAGGGGCGGCTGGGAGAATCCCCAGCACCGCAGCCTCAGGTCTCTGGGAGGGCCCTGGCCTCCTGGGCGCTCCTCGGACATCAATCCAGGCAGGCTGGTTACCGTTCGAAGCACCTCTGTGACTAGACTGAAGCAGGGTGTTTGCTCGGGCCTCCCGGGAGAGTGCAGGGGAGAGGGCTGTGTTCTCTCTACCTCCCTGAAGCTGGGCGCCTGTCTGTCTGCTGTCTCACTTTGCAGAGGAAGGGGAAGGGGTCAGATGTGTCCCAAGTGCAGAGGGTCGCCCATTCTGCCAAGCCCTGTGGGGGCTCGCTCTGGCATGTCAACTCATTTTGTGAGTGGAAAAATAATTCTGGGATGGGGGGATGGGGGGGTGGGAGGGATAATGGGATCCGTGGTGATGGAGGAGGGGCACCGGTGGAGGGACAGGTATTTGATCACTGTATAACTGAAACCCAAGCACAAAAACTTGTAAGTCCACAACTGTACCTCATGGTGTCTCACTAATAAAATTTAAAAAAAAATAATAATAATTAAAAAAAGAATTCTGGGGCTGGAGTGACAGTACAGCACACAGGGTACGTGCTGTACACATGGTGATGTGGGTTTCAGCCCCAGCAACGCACAGGGTCCCTTATCCCAGCCGGCAGTGATCCCCCGAGCACAGCAGGGGATGCACCACCCATGTCCTCGCCCCAAGGAGGGGGGAAAACCCACTTATCGTGATATCTCTATTTCTCCAATGTCTTTTTAAGCCTCTCAAACACAAGTTCTGTTTGGGTTTTTCAACGGAATCACAATGAGACATGATTACCAAGTTGTTCATGACTGGATTTCAGTCCACACAATGTCCCAAGACCTGTTCCTTCACCAGTGCACACTTCCCGTCACCTACGTCCCCTGAATTCCCTCCCACACCCACCCCAGCCTGCCTCCATGGGCGACACTTCTCTTTCTTTCTCTTGGGGCACTGTGGTTTGCAATACAGGGACCGAAGGTATGTCCCTTTACCTCCTTCGGGCACTCAGTTCTGGTCCAGAGTGGTCATTTCCAACCGTCCCTGTCACCGCGGAGCCTTCTCTGTCCTAGCTGCTCTACTCCGCACCCCACACTTGTGGCAGGCTTCCCACCACGGAGCAGCCCTCCTGGCCCTCATTTCTACTGTCTTTGGATACCAATATCGTACTATGTTTTTTAATATCCCGCACACGAGCACAATAATCCTATGTTGGTTCCTCTCCCTCTCCCTCCCTTCACTCAGCATGATCCTCTCCGCGTTCATCCACGGATAAGTAACTTCGTGACTTCTTTTTTCCTAGTGGCTGCGTAGTATTCCACTGTCAAACCCAGCCTTTGAATCCTGAGGAGTCTCCTATTTTCCTTTCAGGATTTTAGAGACTTGTGCTGAACTATATAGGGGCGGAACGAAGTCGCTGATACTTGTATCTCCTCGTACTCAGCGAGAGACACGACCTTTATTTAGCGTGATCTAGACACTCTGCGAAGTACAGACAAGGATAAAATTCCACCATGGCACGAGCATATTTTCATTCTAATAAGATTTTTTCCCCCTTAGTTTTGAGAAAAACTCAACAATGCTGGCTTTAATTTGCATGTTTACAAATTTCTTTTTCTGAACTTTATCTTGCTGGGGCTGGAGCAATAGCACAGCGGGGAGGGCGTTTGCCTTGCACGCGGCCAATCTGGGTTCGATTCCCAGCATCCCATATGGTCCCCTGAACACCGCCAGGAGTAACTCCTGAGTGCAGAGCCAGGAGTAACCCCTGTGCATTGCCTGGTGTGACCCAAAAAACAAAATAAATAAATAAATAAATAAATAAAAGAAAATAAACTTTATCTTGCTATTGCTCTTTGGAGTCCTCTATTTAATAGCTACGGCTACAGCACTGAGTGCCATGATTTCCCTTGAGAAATGAGTGAATGCCGGAAACAACTGTACTAGGAACAACTTTGTCAGCCATGGTGTTTAAAATTTGGGGGAAAAAAAAAATAAATAAAATAAAATAAAGGGGGGAAAAAAAAAAAATTGGGGGAAAAAAAACCAAAAGAAGAGTGCCAGCATTGCATGCATGTTCACTTCCTTCTACAATCTGTAATTCAAGTTTGACACTGAAAAACCTATTAGGAAAACTTGTATCTATTTGACAAGTTTCTCGGGCACAGCGGACTGTCCTCAAGGATTATTCCTGGTTCTGTGCTTCGGGGACCATACAGGATACCCCCCCGGAGATCAAACCTGAGCTGGCCTCAAATGCCCTGACTGTAGTTCACTCTCTCTGCCCCCAGGCAAACTTTTCAATGACCTTGTCTGGGGGCCAGAGATAGCTTCATGAGTTCCAGTTCAATTCCTGGTGGTGATGCTAATGATTGAACCCAGACTGAACCCAGGGCCTCGCTCATGCCAGGCGGCAGGCGTTCTACTGATGAGGGTATTCTGGGTCTCCAGATATGTGAGTACTCTGTATTGACAACTTTCCTTTTCGTGGTGCTGGGGCTCAAACGCAAATGTTCTGCATACAAAGCACCTCCTTTACCCCTCAGTCACATCCCTGACCCCAAAGATATTTTTCTCAGGGCTGGAGCAATAGCACAGCGGGTAGGGCGTTTGCCTTGCACGCAGCCGACCTAAGCTCAATTCCCAGCATCTCATATGGTCCCCCGAGCACCGCCAAGAGTAATTCCTGAGTGCATGAACCAGGTGTAACTCCTGTGCATCACCGGGTATGACCCAAAAAGCAAAAAACAAAACAAAAACAAAAACAAAAAAAAACCCAAACAAACAAAAAAACCAAAGATACTTTTCTCTCTTTGAAGTTCATCAATTCTTCTGAGTTTGGAGAGCATTGTAATAACCATTACTTGAATTCTTTATCTGGTAAATTGCTTCACTATAGGTTTTTACTGGGCTGAAGATGATTAACAAACAAGTGGGATTAACCAGCCCAACCAAAATTACTTCTTAAAAAAAAAAAGAAAAAGAGAAAAGAAAAAAAAAAACGATTTCTTCTTTAAAGAAGTTTCATTCCACTCATTTTCCCCGCGTTCTATCAGCACTTTCCTCTTCCACCGTAATTTTAATATTACCGTATCAAACGTATTGAGCATTAAGTTATAAAGTATTGTAACAAGAATATGATTCAGAAAGGAGGGGGGAAAAAATCAATCCACGGGGAATACTCCAACCATCTTGAAAGTCTCTGAAAATAAAGTGAGATTTCAAATACAACCCTCGATCTCATTTTACTAAGGAGCCTCGCAGTTCATCAATGGGGTTCCCAGACCGAAGGCATCAGCTTAGATTTAAAGGGAAAGAGAAAAGGATGTTGAAAGACAAACATTTTACTCTCAAGGACGAACGAGTCTAGAGGAGGTCGTATTTCAAAATATGATATGCACATGAGTAAACACAAGTCATTTTCGGTATCTACATCCATCCACCCCGCTACCAACACATTCTTACCTTCGACAACGGAATGAGGAAATCCAATTTGTATGAAAGGATCACTCTGGTAAGCAGGACCACAAACACTACATAGGCCGAGTTCTCAAAGTCTGTCAGCTGAACCTGGACCCCGGAAGCCGAGAGATGTTACTGACCGACCACGTGAGCTGCGCCCCACTCGGGCCCCCTCATCCCTGAGCCGTCCCCCCGCGACCCTGGTCTGCCGGTCCTCTCCCTACTCACGATCTAGGATCAGAAACCAGTCTTCAGCGGCTAATGCAATTTGGGGCTAGGACTGCCTTCTGACCGGACTAAGTGCTCGCCGCGGGGCAAGGGCCAGGCCAAGTCCCCACCGACGGGGAATGTCTTACCTCCATGGGTCGGAATTCCACTCTCCAGCCAATGTCTGAGTTTGGAGGAGGGGGCTTGAATCTCATGGTCTGCCAATTTGTGGACTGGATATTCTAGAACAAAAAGAGCAGAGAAGAAAACCAACTTTTCGTGTGTCCGAAAAAAACCAAGATCTGCTATGGAATAAGGAAAGAGCGCTCACTGTCCATAGCTACACTCTTCAAAGTCCAAGTACAAAGGGTTAGGATTCTCCTGGCAAATGACTTGCTAGTAAAATGAAACAGCAAGTGTAAACAAAAGCCGGGTGATAAGTGTGAGACAAGCACTATTGTTCTTGTGCCATACGTTTGAATTATTCACCGCTGGATCAACAAAATACTTAAGAGAAAAAAGAACACTATAATTAATATAAGGGTATACTTTAAGCCACTACAACTTTCTTAGTTCTTTACTGTACTCTGTGACAAAGAACATGAAGGCTTCTACTATTACTAATTATACACAGATGCAGAAAACTACTTCTGACTTGGCAAGGTGTAAAGGATTCACAACTGAGGTGGTACCTCAAAATGGTCAGACTCATTGGCATCATCCAGGTTTATTTTCTCTTCAAACAGCGTCAGTGGGTCTCGAATAAAGAGGTGAGCCACATGCTGGGCCAGCAGATGATCGATGCCTGTGAAGAGAAGGCATGGAGGGCTGACTTCGAACTCCAGCCCCACTGGTCTCGAAGCTCAGGGAGAAAATGGGGCACTCAGAAAGTTGGAAGCAGAGTCACCGAGAAACTCAGAAACGCCTGGCCCACTCGGTCTCCTCAGGTGCCCGAGTGATAATCTTACCCTCTGAACACTGAGTGTCAATTTTACTGGCTCCGACCCAATACCCACCGGGCACAGGTGTGGATCTAAGTACCTCTAAAGCAAGTTCCTTCCGCTAAAAGTCGGGAAGAACTCACAGGTATTGGAACTTGAAACTTTAGGATCAAGCAGCCTCACGGGAAAAGTTAAACACTTCATACTCAAAACAGAAACCAGACCAAGTTTTGAAGAACCACAGGCATGCAATCAGATCTAGAGGAAAAAGAATAAAGACGCTTACCTTCTTGCAACAGTTGTTGGTAAATTTCTTTGTCGATGGTCAGATCAATGTCATTATATTTCTCACCACACACTGACAAATAACTGTCTATCGAATCATAACGGGATTTACTGATCCTATAATTATTTTTCTTCAGCGGCTAAAATTAAAAAAACAAACAAACAAACCCCACAAGTGTTATATAAAATAATCTGTAAATAATGGTCCTATTATAAAATTTTATGTGTAATAATTGTATTAAAAAATCCAACCTTAACATTTGAGCGTGAAAAATTGCTATCCTTAAAAAGCATCATTAGGGAAAAATCATATTTAAATTAAAACCTCGAGGGGGCTGAGAGCTGGCGTGGGTGGTACCACACACTCCTAGTTGGCGCAAGGCCCGACTCCTGTCACCAGGACTGTGTCCCGCACCTCACCACTGCTGGTGGGGCCCGCTAATAAAAAAAAACCCTTGAAATATCTCGCAGTAAATCTAAGTAGATCTCTTTCTGGTATGATTCAGTCTTCCTTCACCCTCACAGATAATTTATTATTAAACCAGAAAAGTAAATGCTAACGTTGAAAGCAAACACACACACACACACACACACACACACACACACACACAGTGTAAAACTATCAAAATGATTTATCCTTCAGATTTTATTTAAAGCACAGCCAACAATTATTTACAATAAAATGAAACCAGAGCAGAAGTTGTTGTAGTTCTGGCTGAGAATACCAGAATCACTTATGAGGGCTTCTTTAAAGCTGCTTTGTCTAAATCCTAGTCCTGGGGATACTTATTTGTGAGGTCTAGGATGGGTCACACTGTATATTTCTTTTCTTTTCTTTTGGCTTTTTGGGTCACACCCAGTGATGCACAGGGGTTCCTCCTGGCTCTGCACCCAGGAATCACTCCTGGCGGTGCTTGGGGTGACCAAATGCGATGCTGGGAATCGAACCTGGGTCGGCCACGTGCAAGGCAAATGCCCTACCCACTGGGCTATCGCTCCAGCCCCTTTATTTCTTTTCATGAACGAATTTCCACAGATTGTTCTGATGCATGCACGGTCACAGTTCAACATGCAGTTAAGAGTCATTAGTAGGCAAAAATTTAACCTTTAATTTGGCAAAGTATCTGAAAACAAATTATACTTTTCACAGCAGAAAGCATCATATATGAAGGACAAAAAAAAGGCATTTTGTTAAAGATTAAAAAAAAAACTATCAGCACTAACAAAAATGTAGGGAATGCATTAGGTTTAAAATTACAACAAAGAGATTTCAACAAACACCCCATCCAAACAAAATCACATTTCCCACACGTTTACCCCACAACACAAGGAAACCAGAAACAAGACAGATTTGAAACATGTTAGTTTCTTCCCGCAGGTGACTGAATTCCTTCAGGATGAAAACTGAAGGCAGACTTAGAAATTACCACCCAGTCACGACAGCCCCATTTTACCTTCTTGGTTCGAAAAGGATAATAAGGAAAACGATTCCCACCTCCAGTCCTCTCTCCTCCCGAGTTCTGTCATCTACAGATGCAGAAATCACTCCCCAGCGGCAATCAATGTCGGACACATAGCCTCGGTAGAAAGGAGATGCGGCACTCAAAGCCATCTGAAAACAAACGAAAAGTCAGCCCACGTGCACGTTGGAAGTGTCCGCTCACACAGTGAAAAGAGTCAAGTCCCTGGCAATTATTTTTGGTCAGTAAGTGTAGGATAACACTGTTTTGTCCTTCCTCAGGTAGCTTAGGTTTATCGTGTCACACCCACCTAAGGACACTGAACTTGTATTGCAAGCAATGTCCTTTCTGTATGGATACAGGGAGACAGTTAATACTATGGCTTGTAACTTGGGAGTTGATTGGCTCCGAGTAATATTTACTCCTGGGCATCTGCTTTCTTGACTCAGTTGCCCTTAGTTCCTAGCACCCCAAAAGCAGGGTCCCGACGAGGGACTGAATGGACCCAGGGCAAGCTGTGAGCTACCCTGGCATTGAAATGGGCCAGGCCAAAGAGCCACGATACTCAACTATTAAGTTGAGGGCATGATCATGGACAAGTAAGAATCCGTTTTTACATCCATTTTAAAGTTCCACTATGTACTGTTGTGTATTGTGAGGATTCAAGCAAGGCCCTGCCCAGGCCCCTAGAGCATCCCCTCTACTCTGTGCAGCGGGAAGGGAGAGGGATCACCCGACACTCGGATACATACAAGAACCGGCAGCAGGAAACTGCTTAGACCCACTTGATCACAAGCTTCAAGTCTCACAGCAGTTCCATCGATTCCCTGCTAATTCTCACGCTACACTGAGCTACCAGGAGCGAGTTCCTGTCTCAAAAAGGCTTGCTGGACCAGTGTTTCTCAACTGGGGTCCTGTGGCCCAGGAGGCATCCCAGGATATTCCAAGGGGTAGAGGTGAGAAGTGTGTCAATGTGGGGGAGGAGGAAGTCCACAGCATGAAACTCGGTGGGAGCTAACCGCAGTATTGGAGGACACAAGGTCATTGAGGGGCCACGACTGGAACGAGGTTGAGAAACACTGGTGGAAACTTTTAGGCACACAGCAAATTTTGCTCATGCAGACTTTATAAAAGTGAGTCTCCGGGGCTGGAGCGATAGCACAGTGGGTAGGGGGTTTGCCTTGCATGTAGCCGACCCAGGTTCGATTCCCAGCATCCCACATGATCCCCCGAGCACCGCCAGGAGTAATTCCTGAGTGCATGAGCCAGGAATAACCCCTGTGCATTGCCGGGTATGACCCAAAAAGGAAAAAAAAAGGTTAGTCTCCCTCACCCCCCCCCCCCCCCTTTTTAAAAGTGATTTCTACTTACAACAATAGGACAGATAGTGGCCAACTGATCGTACAGGTATCTGGCCTCGGATATGCTGCAAGCTTGGAATGTTACCTGTTAAAGAATTGCAAAATATTAAATCTTTTACCTACTTTAGACTTGTAAATTATTCACGATCACGATCATCCTGTTTTTCGTTGACTGCCTCGAGCTGGCCCCAGTAATGTCTCCTTCGTCCTAGCCTTGAGATTTTAAAAAGTGCCATATTCAAGGCTCTTTCAGGGCTAGGAGAATGAGACCCATCATTGTTACTGGTATTTGGCATATTGGGTACGCCACGGGGAGTTTGCCAGACTCTGCCGTGTGGGCAGGTGACATTTGGTAGCCTGCCAGGTTGTCCAAAGCAAGAATGAGATAATAAGATGTCACTTCCGGGAGCTGGGTTTTATAGTCTCTGGGTCTTGGCTGTTGATGGGATTAATTTTAATTTAAATTATTAAATCAATAAAAAAGTCATTAGCATCTGCATCCTTCTCAAGGATGTAGCCTGAGAAGAAAGACGGCTAGTAGAAGATAGGGTGTCTGGTACATATGGTCATTCTCTTGATGATAACAATGCAGAAGTTTTGTTTAACAACCATTTTGGATGGGTAAATAGGTAATGAAGTTGTATTACATATACACAATGGCATACTATGCAGCTGCAAGAAAAAATGAAATCACGGAGTTTTATGAACCATGGATGGAACTGGAGGGTATCATGGAAGTGGCTGCAACTCAGGGCTGGAGTCCAGAGAAAAAGTATCTGGGGAAGGTTCCGACTACGTCCTGAATTTGGGGCGATAGCCCAGAAAGCTTCCACAGGAAGCGTGGGAAATAGAGTAATGTAAGAGTTAGGCAGGACTTGGGCAAGACGATGGACAAGTAATGATACTGGGCTCTCTGAGTCTCTCCCTCCTGTCTGCTGTGAGTCTCCGTGAGATGCTGGAGACTGACCCTGCGGCTCGCAGGTGAAGAACATGACCATGTCCTCCGAGGAATCTCCTCGGACCCACCCTCCTTATTACCATTTTCAACTCAATAATAAAAAGTGAAATACAGGGGCCTGGAAGGGATCCGCGGAAAAGATAGCCAGAGAAACAGCGCCCCATGTGAGAGACAGCAGGAGGGAAATACCAGCGACAGCAGAAATCACATTGATAAGATCACCCAGGGTAGGGTGACTTGGAAAGCTTTGGGGCCACCCGAAACAAGCAACAAAACGATCTCTAGATTATTGAAGGTGTCATTCAGTGATGCTCAGGGCTACTCCTGACTGTGCAATCAGGGATCACACTGGGTGGGCTTGGGTGACTGTATGTGGTGCCAGAAATTGAACCTGGGTGGGCCAACACAGGCCCGTTTCCTTCAGATTCTTCCCTCCCCAAAACTGAAATACTTCCAGACGTATTTTGAGGCCAGCATCACCTTGGCTGCCAAAACCAGAAAATGGTATCTCACACACACTCACACACCACACACAATTTGTTGTGTACACACAAGAAATTAATGATCTAAAATGAACACAGATATCAAAATTCTCAACCAAATACTAGCAAATCTAATTCAACAATGCATTGAAAGGGATACCTATACCAAGTGGAGTTTTTCTGATGACCAATGAATGTTAAATATATATATATATATAAAAAAATCAGTCCAACAGATGATTATTAATGAAAGGAAAAAAATCTATGTGATAATATTCATGGCTGAGAAAGCATTATGACTGACATCCATTTATGAGAAAAACTCAACAAAATGGGGGGCCGGAGAGATTACAGGGCATACAAGGCTCTTGCCTTGCATGTAGCCAACTCGAGTTCAATCCCTGGAACCACATGTCATCCCCTGAGTACTTCCATGAGGGACTCAGAGCCAGGCGTAAGCCCTGAGCACAGCTAGGGGTGGCCTCAGCCCTACCTCAAAAATATATAACTTCTAGGTTGACAGTTTAGCTAAATTTAACGACAAGCAGTCATTACAAACTCAACACGGAAAAGAGCAGTGTCACTCACAAATCAAGGACGGAGAACACCAAAGGTTGAAACAGATAAAAGACGGAGAAGGACTGACAGAGAGGTCACTGATAAACCAAACGAGGGCAATTTCTGCAAAAGAGTTCATGAACTTAGAAGCCGTCCTAACGTTGGTGCGAGGGTTAAGGATCAAACTGGAAATGAGACTGGCCGACTGTGGAATGGACCGGTGGCCGCAGCATGAGGTCTCATGGGCCAGTAGAATCGCCCCTCAATCATCAAACAGAACATTTACTATTCAAAGGATCTGGTTTCGAAGACAGAATTTTCTTCAGGGAGCAATCAAAAATGCACCAACTTCCTAAACGATTTCTAAAAAGCCCCCAAGAGTTAGGAGTTGGAATGTAGCTAAAGTGGGGTCGGGAGGCGCCTCCAACGGCCGAGTGGGTACTCTGCTAGGATGTGTGATCCTCCAAACACACAGAGCTGTGAGTGCCCCTGAATAGTGCTGGACCTGGCCGCAGATTTCCTCCCCCAAAATGCTGCTTTTTTTGTTTTTTTCTTTTTGGATCACACCCGGCAACGCTCAGGGGTTACTCCTGGCTCTGCACTCAGGAATTACTCCTGGCGGTGCTTGGGGGACCATATGGGGTGCTGGGAATCGAACCCAGGTCGTACGCGTGCAAGGCAAACGCCCTACCCGCTGTGCTATTGCTCCAGCCCAAAAGCTGCTTCTTTTGGACACCGAGTCTTCCGATACTCTTTCTTAAAAAGCACTCTAGAGCCCTTCCGCTTTCCTAGTTAGTTGCTAGTGTTCCTCGTAAGCAATTCCAAACAGATATGATTGTGATTTGGGGAGTTCATGTCTTCTGCTACACACTATACGTTACTTATGCTAACAGGTTTTCTAAGTAAAATAATAAAACTGGGGTGCTCAACATTACATCAAGAAAAAAGACAACGGAAGCGCCTCCTTCAGAGCATCCCAATAAACACATTATTTATTGATTGATTTATTTATTTTTTAAAGGGAAAAAATGGGACTGGAGCAATAGCACAGCGGGTAGGGCATTTGCCTTGCACGCAGCCAACCCGGGCTCGATTCCCAGCATCCCACAGGGTCCCCTGAGCACCGCCAGGAGTGACTCCTGAGTGCAGAGCCAGGAGGAACCCCTGTGCATCGCTGGGTATGACCCAAAAAGCAAATAAATAAATAAATAAATTAAAAAAGATAATGTATTTCTAAAACCATGACAAAGTTTAAACGAGATGAGAAAATGTCTCTGTAGGCAATAAATAGGTGAACCACCTTCATTGGACATATTGAGTTAATGTTTTCTTCAAGGGAAAGAAAATCTCTAAAATGGAGCACCTGTTCTCGATGGCAAAACCAGTCTGGTTTAATATTTAACTGAAAGAGCACTGATACAGTTCTAAAGTCGTGCACTGGAGGTAAGTTCTAGAACTTAATGATTTGCTTCGGAAATATCTGTAATTAAGATCGGCAAACTGATATGTGGTTAAAAATTAAAAAGATCTCTGTTTTATGAAGTGTGGCCAACTCCAGGGACCAACTGCTGGCCTGGGCTTTGTTTGAGAGACAATTTTTTTATATTACCCAATTAAGGAAAGCTGAGAAAAAAGTACTGTTGGCCAAGGTTGAAATGGCGTTTGAACACATTTTAGCATGGAAAACCTGACTCTGGCATTCACCTGACAGCAATGTTCCAGAAGGTGTGCTCGTGCGTGCGCGCGCGCGCGTGTGTTTTTTTGGGGGGTATCGTTGGAAATGCTCCGCTGTGTGTCTGGTGGTCGAGAGTCCCAGCTGAAGGTCCACAGGGCCTTACGCGGGGGTGTCCAGCTTTATGCTGCTTCTCACCGTTTCTCATCAGCGGAAGAATGACGAACTAGATCAAATCTGCTCGAATGGATAACAAGGTGCACTCCCCTCCCCCGCTTTTTTTTTTAAATGGGTCACACCCAGCTGTGCTCTGGGCTTATTCCCGGCTCTGCGCTCAGGGATCAGTCCTGGTGGGGCTCAGGGGACCCCATGGGACACAGACTGGAACCTGACGGGCAAGGCAGGCGCCCCACCCACTCTGCTCTCTCTCCGGCCCTTTGTTATCTGACTTTCTCAAAAGGACATTTTTATTTAGAGCTGCCACTACTCTCTTGCTTTAACATAATTTTGAATAATTTAAAGGTGAAAACATGTTACTTCTATTCTTCTTTCTTTTTGGGTCACACCCGGCGATGCACAGGGGTTCCTCCTGGTTCATGCACTCAGGAATTACTCCTGGTGGTGCTCGGAGGACCATATGGGATGCTGAGAATCGAACCTAGGTTGGCCGTGTGCAAGGCAAACGCCCTACCCGCTGTGCTATCGCTCCAGCCTCACATGTTACTTCTATTAATGGGCTGGAGCAATAGCACAGCGGGTTTGCCGTGGACGCGGCTGGCCCGAGTTCGATTCCTCCGCCCCTCTCAGAGAGCCCGGCAAGCTACGGAGAGTATCTCGCCCGCACGGCAAAGCCTGGCAAGCTCCCGGTGACGTATTCGATATGCCAAACACAGTAACCACAAGTCTCACAATTTGTTGTGAGACATTACTGGTGCCCGCTCGAGCAAATCGATGAACAGCGGGAGGACAGTGCTAGACAGTGCTACTTCTATTAATTAAAAAAAAAAAAGAATAAATATTAGCTTAGGGTCAGACCCTGTGTAACAAAAATCTTTCAACTGCTGAGAAAATAAGAGGCCAAAAGGAGTGACGGGGTAGGCAAAGCAGATAGGCACAGCAGAGAGGGCATTTTCCTTGCATGCGGCTGACTCAGGTTCGAACCCTGGCATCTATATGGCTCCCTGAGCACCGCCAGGAGTAATTCCTGAGTGCAGAGTAATTCCAGGAGTAAGCCCTGGGCATTGCCGGGTGTGGAACAAGAAGTGACAGGAGTTACCTGGCAACTAGAGCAGTGAGGCCCAGGCCTGGCCCAAGCCACTCCGTCTCAGGCCCCAGCAAGCTTGGACACAACCATTGTTTGGCCACCAATGATCTGAGTTAAGAGAGAATGGCTATTCCATCTCCTAGGCAACTTAGCCAAGGGACAAGGCAAAAATATGCTAAGTGTGTGTGTGTGTGTGTGTGTGTGTGTGTGTGCGCGCGCGCGTTAATAATACCAGATAAGTGTTACATGAACGTAAAAACTTAAAATCTACTTCTTGCAGATGAAAGGGTCCTGGAAAGCACCTATCATAGCACAAATTCAGAAAGGAGAGATTTCAGTAGTGTCACAAGCTCACGGCTATTCCTTCACTAGATGGCAGCAAACACGCGTCGTACAGGAAGAGAACAGTGGGGCTGGGAGACCAGTGAGGACCCACATCTGGCGTGTGACTGACTCACGGGGCTCAGTTCCCTCACGTGGCCCACAGGGCATGGCCAGGGACAGCTGGGGCGGCCCAGGGACCCCAACACCACTCAGCCCCGCCAAGCAACACATCCCTGCACAAGAACAACAGAACCAGGACCACTTAAGTGCCAACTGTGTGTCTTTGTAGTGAGCTACAGATTCCGTAAACTCTGTCAATTAATTTAATTACCGGTTTTCAGAAAGACATACAGGTACTACCATTAGGTACCAATAATCAGTAACATGTTGGTCTGACTGATTCAAAGGAGATCAACTTTTAAGAAAGAAAACATGCATACATGAAGAAAAAAGTTAGGAACGCAAAGCGCCGAGGGACACAGGCCCCTCCACGGGAAACTGTACCTGAAGGCAGCAATTGCCCATCCCAAATCCCATGGCATCCATGTAGATATGATCGGGCTTAGAAGCTCTCGCTGCTTCATCATCCTCGGGAAATGTCTCAGTAAATGGAGATGGCGTGTTCTTGTCCTTAAATACTGTATCAATAAAAAATTTTTAAAAGAAAATGGGTGAGTCAAGTAATAAAAAAGAAATAATTCAAAGGTTAGTTCTCCCCCCACCCCCTCCTCTCTGAAAGACTTACTTGGTACGTTGATAACAACCTTTTCTCCTCTCCTGTGTCGAATATTTCTTGTTAAGGTGCTAAAACAGACAATTGAGTATCATAAATTGGTCACCTAAGAATCATCATGCGAAGGAAACCAATTATATATATATATACATACGGACACGTATTCAAACTAATACTCTAATTCATTATTCAAACGAATATTCTAGTTCACCCTGCAGACATTGCAATACGGATTCAGATACGCTGAGGGACGGTCCTGCACAGTCTCTGCATTAATGATTTTGATTCTTTGACTCTTGCTTGAGAACCTCATTCTCTTCCCTGCCTCAACCCCTCATTCCAGTCAACCCCCGGACCCAGGTTCAGGTGTCTGAGATCTGCTATTTTGTCTACATTTCCACATTAATGCAGAAGACTTCAGTCCATCTTTGGCACTCACTTCTCCTGGCACCTGAGAGCCCCACGGCCTCATTATTCCGTCTCCCTCCAGAACCTGCAGCAGGTGTACTTACTCCCTAACCCTGGGAGCTCTACCCAGTCCAGAAGCTACCAAGGACATGCAGCTACTGAGCACTTGAAATGTGGTTCATCTTAATTACCACGTGGGGCTAGGGGAAAATACACACCAAATCTTGGGGGAGATGAGAGGAGTTTAGGGCGACACCTGGTAGTGCTCAGAGGCTATTCCTGGTTCTGTCCTCAGGAGTGAGCCCTATCTGAGCTCAGGGAACCACACACAGTGCCAGGGACTTTAACTCGAGTTGGCCAGGTGCAAGAACGTATCTTCCCCTCCATTCTATCTTTCTGCCCAAACACCAAATTCAAAAATATTATTACCAAAAAAAATAAAGTAAAATTTTTTATTAACAATTAAAAAAATACTGATTAACACTGAAATAAAATTTTGGGTATAGTTAAGTAAACTATTATAAAATTAAGCTCACTTTTTAAGAGTTTTTAAACCTGACTGCTAGAATTTTTAATTATATTTATGGCTTGTGTTAAGATTCTATTGGGCAGTACAGTTAACAGATCTTAAATGTCGCCTTTCTCAAAGAAGGAATCTATAGAGTGGGATAAAAAGATCACAGATACTGGTGGTAACTTTGTGGGGGGGCAGAGAAGGAAAGGAAGGAATAATTAAGAAAAAAAACTTATCCAAAAATGGTAATTATAAAACTAGATATGAAAATAAACCAATTAAAAGACAGACAGGGCTGGAAAGATAACATAATGGGTTTAGCGTATACACAGTCCACAGGATGCCTGATCTCGATCCCTTAGGACCACTAGGCAAGGCCCAAAAAGCAAAAATAAAAAAGGGAAAGACAGCGACTTAGGCAATGATTTAGGCTGATTTGGAAAACGAGTAAATCAAACTCGGATGTAAGAAACCAATCAGGTGGTTTCCTTGCACATGCCAATTAGAGTTGTAACCCCAACACCACAAGGAACCCTCGGCACAGAGTCAGAAGCAGACCCCAAAACACCATCAAGTGTGGCCTTAATACCCTCAGACCTCTGTCCCTCTCACTCCTCAAAGAGATCAATCAGGGGCTGGAGCAATAACACAGCGGGGAGGGCATTTGCCTTGCATGCGGCCAACCCGGGTTTGGTCCCCAGCATCCCACAGGGTCCCCTGAGCACCGCCAGGAGTAACTCCTGAGGTGCAGAGCCAGGAGTGACCCCTGTGCATCGCCGGGTGTGACCAAAAAGCAAAAAAAAAAAAAAAAAAAATCAAACAGCTTTGAAGACACTGAGGATATAAGTACTTATGTCTGCTGTCTTCACTGAATGCTCAATGAACATTCCCAGACCGGAATACTATACTGTCAGCAAGAAGAAGTTGAAAGCAGCAAAGCGCTATGTTCAAAATACCAAGTCATACTCACCTGAAGCGGGGGTGCTTGTTTATTGCTTCATCCGGAAAGAAGAGGGACTTGGAAGCTCCTCCTTCCACCGGGTTGGGTTTGAACTCAGGCAGCGTGAACCCGGGACAACCTAATCTACAACAAAGGGAAGAACTAAATTGACAGGACTTGTTTTCAGGAACGACGGCTTAACTGGAGCCACGAAACAAAACCCAACTCACCCTTGACTCCCTCTTCAGAGGCCCCGGCAGGGAAACATTTCCTAATTATTGTCCCCCTTCCCAACCAGCCCCTTGCAGTTTATCTTGCCTGTGAAGAACTTCTGTGATTCTAGTCCTTCACTGATATTTTTTTCCCTTTACTGATTTTAATCAGAGAACTTCCTCTCACTCATCTACCAAGCACCTACCCAAGTCCTACCTAGCTCTTCATTTCAGTGAGGAACACCGCACAGAAATCACTTTATTCGGTGTGTCAGTGTCACGGCTTACAGATTTTCCCGAGAAAAATTCCAAGGCATCTTCCTTTCACTGCTCTCATTTCTGACTTTTGATCTCTGTGTACCACTACTACTCTTTTTTTTTTTGGTGGGTGTTTTTGTTTATTTTTGGTTTGGGGGCCACACCTGGCAGTGCTCAGAGCTTACTCTTGGGTCTGCATCCAAGGAACCACTTCTGGTAGGGCTTGAACCTGGGTTGGCCTCGTGCAAGGTAAGTGTCCCTATTCACTATCAACTATTCAACTATCAGTCAAGCCCTTACAGCCTTTTTATAAGCATTTATTTTTTAAAATCTTTTAAAAATCTTTAATATACATATATATATTGTATCAGCTTTTATGCTTTTAAAAAAACAGAAAAGGTCTGGTTTTTCTACCTTTGTTTGGTGAGGGGAAAGGTTTGGGTCACGCCGAGCAGTGGTCAGAGTTACTCCTGACTCTGTACTCAGAAATCACTCCTGGCAGGTTCAGGGAACCATCTGAGATGCCAGTGAGAGAACCCGGGTTGGCTGAGTACAAGGCACGCACCGAACCTGTTGTACGATTTTTCCAGCCCCCTTTTTCCTCTTTCTGCAGGCTTTCTCTTTCTCTCTCTAAAGGTGTCCCCATCCACCTGAGATATCTCTCCAAAGGCTGAAACGAAACCCTATCTTTTATTTGGCCTACAAAAGAGCTGAATTTCTGTATGCTTGGCTAAATATCGAGCTCAAATTCCGTATCACTGGGAACCCAAGTGAAGAATGTTGCAGTCATTGAGCGGGAGTGATAGCACAGCAGATAGGGTTTTTGCCTTGCACAGGGCCAACCTGGGTTGATTCCCAGCATCCCAGATGGTCCCCGGGGCACTGCCAGAGGTAATTCCTGAGTGCATGAGCCAGGAGTAACCCCTGTGAATTGCCGGGTGTGACCCAAAAAGCAAAAAAAAAAAAAAAAGAATGTTGCAGTCATTATTAACTGTGTTATATGGGAGGACTAAGACTAACAAAGTGAGAGAAAGCAAAACAAGGGAAGCTCTTGTCAACGGTAAGAAACTTTTGGCTTGAGAACCGAGACTAATCCATGCTTTATTTTCAACACTTACTAAAAAAAAAAAAAAAGTTAGCTATTTGGAAGCCTACTTTGCCTGTGAACAACTAAATTTGCCAATCTTATCGAGCAAACAGTTCCCAGCTTTAGTAAGTATTCCTGGAAACTCTAGAGGCTATGTACCTCACTTTATAGTATGTCTGCAACCTTAATTATTCCTTGGTGGTGGTAACAAACTTAAATCTGAGGAATTCTTAGCTAACCAGATTCAGGTGAGATGTAGGGAGTGAGAATGTGTTTAAACTCTGCTGTGTGCAACCATGTGCCCTGCTCAGGGTACTACCTCTCTGACCCTATATTCCTGAACTTGACACATTCAGATACAAATTTCTGGTCTTTATTGCAAATCTCATTTTTTTCTTTTTCATTACAAATCTCATTTTTTTCTTTTTCAATCTGCTAAGCAAAAGGATTACCTTTCTTAATGTGAAAGAGAAAAATAAAATGTTAAGATACTGGATTTTCCAGTTCAGTGAAAATTTTCAAATCACACTACTGTAACCTACTTCATTTAGGACTCTGAAGCCTTGACAATCATTACCTACCCCAACAGTCCTGACATTTCTTCTTTCCACCCCTGGGTCTCTGCTTATTTTGTCATCTCCTGATACCGCCCACCTTCTTCCTGGCCATCATCATTTGTCCCAAGGGAGCTCCCCCAATCCGGGAGAAAGTAGGCGCTGGCGTTTGACAGCCACTGGGGCCAAGAGTGTAGAACAGAAATATGATCTATCGGTTCAAATCAAATCGATCTTCTCTAGGCTTACTACTACTACTACTACTTTTAGAATAGCAACTAAAAAAAATTTTTTTTTGGCTTTTTGGGTAACACCCAGAGATGCTCAGGGGGTTACTCCTGGCTCTGCACTCAGGAATTACTCCTGGCAGTGCTCAGGTGACCAGATGGGATGCCAGAGAAGCAGTCTTCTTTCAGGAAAAGTGCTTGGAGTAATGTCCAAAGTTCTAATAGAAGCCAAACGTTGATCCCTGAGATCAAACCCAGCTCGGCCACATGCAAGGCAAACGCCCTACCCGCTGTACTATAGCTCCAGCCCCGCAACTAAGATTCTTAGTTAACAGGACCTGGCCCCATACTTCCGTATTTCCACCTCCTTGACAACCACTCAGTCACAGTGGCCATCTTCCTTCTACATCTCAGAGGGCTGGCAGAAGGGCTTCGGCCCATGCTCTTCCCCTGGCTCGTGGCCACATTGCTCTGTGCACCAACGTTTGGCTTCTATTAGAACTCTGGACATTACTCCAAGCGTTTTTCCTGGAAGAAGACTGCTTCTACCACAGAGGGTCTATCAGAACCCACACTTGCTCTGCTCTGCACCTGCATCTCATCCTCAGAGCACTGCCCCAACTTCAGAGTCACTGAGTATCTGTCTACTTGGTTCCTCTCGATCATTCGGTCCCCGAAGGCACTGTGCTGTGCTTTCCCTCGTGACAGGTGCATCTGGAATGAAGCAGGAACGAAAGGCCCCGAGTGAATGGCGGAGTCATGAGTTCTTATTTCGTCCTTAGAACATGAGGGCAAAGGAACATACCAGCTCCCTTCCAAGCCAAGGTGTTCACCACCTCGGCCAGCCAGGCTCTCTATTTTGATCGGAAGGGAAGAGGAAGAGGTCTTCACACAGGGAATGAAGGAATCACAGTAAAGGAGATGCTTCTCCAAATGTTTAATTAAGTTGCAGAAATAAGGTTCAATTATATAGATGTTACAATGGATATTTAAAAAAAAAGAATTCCTCCTGAAAGTAAACGTAGAATTGAGCTGCCATCCAACTCAGCAGTTCCACTTTTGGTAAGGACACACAAACATCCACTCAAAAGGACAGATGCACACCACTCTTCTTTGCACCACTGAGTCCAAGAGCTAAGTTATGGAATCACCCTGTGCCCAGTGACAGATGAATGGGTTACGAAGCTGTGGTATCTAAGCACAAGGGAATGTTACACAGCTCTAGGAATGACAAACTCATGAATTCACTGCAGCTTGGATGGAACTGGAATGCTACGCTGAGTGAAGTAAGTAGAACCAACAGATGATCTCACTGATCTGTGGAATGTATGCGTCTATGGGAATGCAACGATGTAAAAGGGTGGAACTGAGATCATCCTTGACCTCAGAGCTTGGACAGGGAAGGAAAGAAATCAAGGCAGGAGGAAGACGACAAGAGGCAGTAAGGACGGAGTAGGAATCATTGATAATGTGGGGGAGCGGGACAGCTCTATATCCACACCACAGTCAACAAACAACAGAGAAAAAAGGTAAGACCCAAACGACAACCACCAAACGTCAAAAGTCACCAAGAGGCCGGTCAAAGTGGCAGACCGAGGGATGGGGGGACCTGGAACACTGGTGGTGGGATCGGTGCTGGAACATTTTATGTCTGAAACTTAACTACCGGGGCTGGAGAGATAGCACAGCGGGTAGGGTGTTTGCCTTGCCCACGGTTGACCCATGTTCGATTCCCAGCATCCCATAGGGTCCCCTGAGCACCGTCAGGAGTAACTCCTGAGTGCAGAGCCAGGAGTGACCCCCGTGGCATCGCCAGGTGTGACCCAAAAGGCAAAATAAAATTAAATTAAATTTAAAAATAAATAAAACTGAACTACCAATAACCTTGGTACATCAGGATGTAATTAAAGTAAAAGAAAACCCTTCCTCGACTGAAAACACACTACATTCTTCTAAGACCAAATGGTCTGACTGGAATGCTTGGTGTTCGTGACAGACATCTAGCAGGAAACAGGAAAAGATGTCAAGATATCAATTCTAAATATCTGAGGTCATTGATACCAATATCTAAAGAATGTTTGAACACGGAGGAGATTAAGTTTATTGGGCGGAACGCTCTGCTTATGTACAGGTCCAATGTACACTTTTATGATATTTATCCGTCTCATCCTAAAGCTGGGGACATAATTTCACAACTTACGCTTACTTTTATAAGCTTTTCTTTCTAGCACAATATCCAAATTTGATTCTGTGACTTGTTCAGAGGACATGAGCACCAGTGTCAGCCCTCCAACAGGCGACCTCCAGCCTCGCCACCAATGCCACCGTCTGTCTGCTAGTAGGCTACAGGCACCAGGACGCAACTACTGCAGCCAAGTGACAAGAGCAGTTGATGACCGTTTGAGACCAGGCTCCTTCCTACAAGGTCAGCACTGCTCACAGACGTCCCGCTTCCCCCACCCTTGCCAGGGCTGGAGCGATCACCCCACTGTCCTAAACACAGTGGCTCCTTCGATCTTTCCCACTGGGCCCGATGACTGTTCTCGACACAGTACTCCAGGCCACCCCCGCCAACAGAAGAGGATGCATTTCTGGCTGTGTCTTACCCTTACAGACTCCACCGCACGCAACCTATAAAATGCAGGCACCACTGAGAATTAGAGGGGGAGTTTCTTGAGTCATGATTTGCTCTCTTTGTCGCCTTAAGCTCTGAAATGCCTGTGGGTGATTGTTCATAGGAACTAACCTTGGAAATGACGTGATCGTACAAAGAGCCTGGTTTTCTTCTAATAAAGAAGTTGCCTCCTTCCGGCGTTTCCTCATGTTATCTTCAACGGTATTGAACTCAGACATCGTCCCTCCGTACGGCTGTCCAGGTGTCCCTTCAATCATGTAACTCCCATACTCGGGCCTCCAAAGGGTAGGATGGCTACAGAGGGTGAAAAAAAAGTCATTCCCTCTTTTTCTTTCTTCCCTTTTTTTCCCAGAACCCCCTCTTTTTCTTTTGCTATGGTCTACTCCAGTGTTAAGAGAGCTGTTGTTGGTTGTTGTTGTTTTTTGAAGTTGCTTTAAACATTTTTAGAAACATCAGTTATAAAATAGAGCTACGGATCTCTTGGCATTTTAGGCAGAGAGGGCCGATCTTTCCACAGCTCCTCAACTGTGTGAGGGATAGAAGTCCTACATCTCAAATACTTACAAGTAACTGAAACACACGTGGGGCGCTAGTGTTCAAGGCAAGCAAGTTAGTCCTCTCTGAGGGAAAGGGGATGAGGCCTGAGCACACTTTTCGTTTAGTGCTGGGCTCCAAATTCAAATGCAGAGTCTTAAAAAGCTAGTGAGAGGGGAAAAAAAAAAAAAAAAGAAACTGCAGAGGACATGTGCCCTTCACTTCGTTGTCTACTTAAGGAATTATTTTAAAAACATCCTGCCAGCCAAATCAAATACTTTTACAAGTTTTGTCTGGCACCCTGGTTTGTGATTTCAGCGCTCTGGGTTCTGTGCTGAGTTTATCATTTTAAGTACTTTAATACCTTTAGACATTGAAAAATCAACTTACTTTGGGTTTGTCCTTTCTCCCTTTTCTTGCAGAGTTTCAAGAAGTTCTTCTCCGGACAGGACCAACTGGGCTTTTTTATTTTCATGATCGAAAGACACTAACATGTATTCCACCTATTAAAAATAAAGGAGAGAAAAAGTAAACTTCTAGACTCAAGCTCACCGTGACCTTTTGAAGAAGACAGGGGAAATGTGCGGTTTGGAAAGGATCCACACCAACTCGGGACTCAGTCACATTCGCTCACCCTGCAGGACGGAAGACAGGTTTGTTTACATACTACGAAGACCTACAGAGAGGGGTCAGTGAATAGTGGCATTGTGTTAGGACAAGAACAGATTCTATAATTCCTTCTTTCTCCTGTTCTACTTAACATTCTATGAAAAGGTCAAGCTGCCCATTTCAACAAATTTGCAGAGAGAAGCCTTTCCGAACTAAGACGGTATAAGCTGCACTTACAGGAAGTCGCAGTTCAAAATTTATACCCTCAGTTGGTTTACTGTAGGTTTACAAAAACAATGATCTGAGCATTAAAATCAAGAGAGATTTATACTTGTTGACGGCTTATTTAAAAGTCTCACTGTAATCGCCACAATTGAAGAGCAAAATCACACTCACAAATACACCATTACTAATAAGCTATTTTAGGTCATTTGACTTGTATCTGTCAAGAATAATTTAGGACTATTTCTCCACTCCAAAGCCACATAAAATGTAGAATGCAGGGTGCATTTATAACATCTGGTGGGATTTGGATAAAAATCAAGTTAAATACCAAAGGAAGACTTTTCTGGGCAAAATACAATCTGCTCTTTTTTTTTTTTTAACCCAAAACTGCATGCTCTGAATCATGACAGTTGATGTAAAGAGAAGGTTGTGAATCAGTTTGTCTGACTGTCATAGAACAATCACTACCCACATGTCAAAGTGGATCACTGGATTATTTAGGCAAGTCGTCTCAAGTGCTCTTTGATAAGATACAAAGACAAAGACTTGACAAACTGGTGCCCCACAAAGCAGACAGTATGCAGACATTTTATTTGGCTTACTACAGGTTTAAGTGAAACAACAATACATCCACTACCTCCCTGACACTTCACATGTAATCCCAAGCTCTCAGTCTTAATAGCAAACGGAGGCAAGGAACCAGAAACTAGGCTCCAAGTCTACCAGACGAGAAAAGGGAACCTCCACTCTTGGGAGTGCCTTTTGGTCCACAATGGACTATTCTCTAGTATTTGTTCGTCTGCCTGCCTGATTTAGGCATTGGATTTCACCATCCCTCCCAGAGAAATAGGTCCAGGAGACTTTCTATGCTTCAAAGCTGAGATGTAATTTTAAAGAAATTAAAACGTCAATAATCACAGGAACTAGAACAGTGGGTTTACACGACAGCACAAAAGTTCACTTCCAGCTAGCTTTCTGGTTTTGTTTTGGGGTCAAAGCTAGTGGTGCAAGGAGACTGTTTCCATGGGCAAGATCCCAGTACGGAACCTTGGCCTTCTGCATGTAAGACATGTGCTCACACTAGCTCTCGGGCCATCAATGAACCACCACTAGCTGCTGCTATGGACTTAATGTTTGGGTCTTGCCTCTTGATTCACTGTTGTCTTTTTTTTTTTTGCTTTTTGGGTCACACCTGGCGATGCTCAGGGGTTACTCCTGGTTCTGCACTCAGGAATCATTCCTGGTGGTGCTCAGGGGACCATATGGGATGCTGGGAATTGAACCCGGGTTGGCCGCGTGCAAGGCAAACGCCCTCCCCGCTGTGCTATCGCTCCAGCCCCCTCATTGTTAAGTCTTAATTCCCCAATGTGATGGTAGAAGAAAGACCCTTGGCGGGTCACATCAAGAGCGCAAAGCCCTCAAGATGGGATCTGTGCCCTGTGAGTGAGATGCTCTCGCCATACCTTGAGAGGACGGAAGTCATCTCGAAGCCAGAAAAGCGTTTCTTTCCAGGACTGATCTGTCAGTGTCTTTGATTCTGAACTCCCCAACTTCACAACCAACTGAAATAAACACCTACAGTTTAAGTCACCTGGTCTGAGGTCTTCCATACAATGTGCTGAGCTTATTAACTGTCTTACCGATGAGTTCAAGTTCCCCCTCCTGCTTTTCTCGTAAGAGTCCCTCCGTGCAAGGAGCTGGACAGGCTGAGCATTTGCTTGGTCTCCAGGAGACCCAGGTTTGTACCCTGGCACCTCCAAGTCCCTGATAAGCACGCTGGGACTATCCCTCCAAAAGTTTTTAAGTTCCAGAGATGGAAAAGGACCGGGGGTGTGGCTCAGTGTCAGAGCCCATGCCTTGCCAGGTGTGAGGTTCTGGGTTCAAGTCTTAGCACCCTGCCCCCAAATTCTAACAGAAGTGGGCAAGATGGCTTGATTTAAGATGACCGGATTTAAGTATGAGCCAGAAATCTGAGCTCTTTACAACTAAATCAATGTCAAATACCTGATAAATGTATATTGCAAAACCTGGGAACTGCTTCGGACTTTAGAGATAAGCTTTCAGATAGATTTATTACTCCTGAGATTGAAATATGATGGAAGAAGAAACTTCGTAAAGTCTCAGGATGCATAAATGAGAAAGCACCTGTCATGAACTTTTTATGCAAGCATCCTAAATTCATCATGCAAAGAAGCTTATCTCCTGTCACTTTTAGGGATGGCACAGATGCTCAGAGAGGGTGAGGGAGCGCCCCAAGGTCAGTGCGGGAGCGGGGATTTGAACCTTGCCTCCACTAGCTTCACAGGTTTGCTGCTAGTACTACAGCATAAAGCATATCCATGTTGGTTGGTGATAACTTTAAAAGGGAAAAAAAATGAAATGTCATAAACTATATATGAGTAGAGATAACAGTGGAGTAATTATGCCTCCATTTTATGGAAGTCATCAGTATATCATCAAAGCTGAAATGCAGCAGCAGTAGAGATGGCTCAAAAGGGCTGAGTGCATGCTTCAGATTGGGGGGGGGAGGGTCTGGGATTGATCCTTTTTTACTGCCCAATCCACTGAGCACTCCCCTAAACCCCACCCCGCAACACACATCAAAAAAAAAAAGTTTAGATGTCAACAGAAAGTGTGGCCCATCCCTTAGGCCTAGGATAACAGTAGTAGTTCCAGTATAAGTCCCACTTATAGACAGTGCTTTCTACTATGGAATGACTTCCTCCTAAATCACTGGCTCCAAGACATCTGGCCTCATCTAAATGGAGTTACCCTGTTCTCTTCTTTTCTAGATAAATGGTTCACAAAAGAATGACGAAAAATGCTACCAGCTTACTGGGGTTCCATCACTGATCTGTCAAAATGAGCAAGGAATCAAGAGGGACTTTTGTGCTGATTACACACGCTAAACTGCAATAACTTCTGTTAGTGTCCTCTTTTTTGAAATAACGGAAATACTTCGTTTTCAAAATCTCTAGTTTAAAGCATGGGTAGCAAAAGAACAAAGAACTTCAAACTCAGCCTAACTATCAAATGGATAGTTCTTAAAATGCCAACAAACCAGACTCCTTCAAGAAAAAAAAAAATCATCACATAAATTCATTTCCTCGTTTACCAAATGACAAAACAAACTTCCTCTGGATGAAATCTAAATTCGGCTAGAAACCAGAATTGATCTGGGGGGCTAGGGAGATGGGACAGAGATAAGGCACTCTGCTTTCATGGCAGCCAATGTAGTTCAAACACCCGGTACCACACGAGCCCCCCCCAAGTACCGCTGGGGGCTTACTCCTATTCACAGAGCCAAGGTGACACACCTCTGACCCCTACCTCCCCCCCAAAAAAATCAGACTGGAGACGTAGCTCAATGGTAAAGCCCGGCCTTACAACTGTGAGGGCCTGGGTTCAATTCCCAGCACATCCTACACACAGTCCCCCTACCACCAAAGCTTTTATGAAGTACTGTTCCCTACGTTGCTCTTTCTTCATCAGTGCTCAAAATGGCACTCTTGTATTTTGCACCCAGCAGTACCCAAGTTTACCCCTGCCTCTGCACTCTGTTATCACTCCAGGTGGGCTTGGGGGACACTACGGGGTGCCTGAGATCAGATCTGGGCCAGCTGCATGCAAAGCAAGTACCCCACGTGCTATTATCCTTCTGGCCCCTCAGATGGGTCTTGAACCTCTTAGCATTTTGCTATTTTAATCCTCCCCCCGCCCCGACCGCCCCCCGACACAATCAATACATTTTGGTCATCTCCAATTCTAGTTCATACAAGCACTCGTAAACAATTAACTTTTCTAGGAGCCAAACTAGAAATGGAGTTTCTGCAACGACGGCAGCTAGGGAATGATAACAAGAGGTCATGGATTCTTAAAAACAAAGTTCTTCCCAAATAATTTCCCATTAAGAACGGGAAGCCACACTACTACTGGGTGTTGTGCCAACCTAAACTTTATTATAAACACGGGATAAGACGTGACAAAAATCAAAGAGGACAGAGCTCTTCTCTAACAAACAAGATTGCAAAGATTCTGACCAGCTTCCTAACTCGGAATGGCACCGAGGCTACAGATCCAATTAGAACTAGCAGCTCTCTCTGGCCCACAGCATTTCTCCCTTTTGCACGCCCGCACACACCTGCACACACCCCTCTCTGAAGACATACACCCAAAGAGCATTATAAATTGGTTGCCGAGTGACTAATTCTAATTAATGGAGCTAACATATCATTTGGAAGTAGCAAAAATAGCCACGAGGGCTCTATTCTCAGCACACAGATCACAATTCCCTTGGTGTGACTTCGAGACACTGCTCTGGGCTATCCGCTATTGTTTTAAATACGGCGAGAACCACAGCCAGAATCTGGAAACAACCTGAGTGCCCAAGAACCAGACAAATGGATCAAGGAACTGGCACATCTGCACAATGGAGTACTCGGCAGCTGTTGGGAAAAATGAAGTCGTCGGATGTGCCTATAAATGGATGGGCACGGACAGCATCTTGCTGCGTGAAATGAGTCAGAAGGAGAGGGACGGATATAGAATGACTGCATTCATTTCTGGTACGTAAAAATAATTATTATTATGACATCTTATTATCTCATTCCTACTTTGGACAACCTGGCAGGCTACTGAATGTCACCTGCCCACAGGGCAGAGTCTGACA